CCTTATAGGATGGTGGACCAATGGGCTTTCCTTTAAATAAAGTGGTTTAGTTTTATCAACTACTAATTTATATGATACACTAATTGTGAGTTATAAGGAGATTACTATTGTGTCGACGGGTAAAGAGTGACAATTTTATTTACTAAGAAATCAATTTAATATTTCCTTTAAATAAAGTGGTTTAGTTTTATCCACTACTAATTTATATGATACACTAGTTATGAGTTATAAGGAGATTACTATTGTGTCGACTGGTAAAGAGTGACGACTTTATTTACTAACATTAATACTAACACTATTTCTGCTATCGTGATAACCATGACTTCTTACTTTTTTAGTGTGGCTAATAAAATACATGTTTTGAGATATTATTCTTATTATTATACGAATTTATTGTTATTATATTATTTTATTATTTCTGCCACTAGATTATTATTATTACCAGTATGAATATCGATACTATTTGATAATATTGATTCAATGTACTTATACTAAGCATATGATATACTTAGCACGTGATATAGGAGGTTTGGATAGCATATTTACATTTTTAAATGATTTTACTGTATTGATTTGATTTTAATAGTCATTATCTATATTTTGATTTGTTTTTTTTATCTTACTACGGAGACATGATTGACTTTTACATTTGATACTTGTACTGAGTTACTACTTTACTAGCTGTTGTACCGTAGTATTTTAATGCTTATAGATTCTACTATTATTGTATTTGTGTTTTAATATTCTTGCACTTATTTAATGATTATATAGCTGCTACTACTATAATTTGATCTTTAACTTACATATTGATCTTTTACCGTACTCTGAATTCATTTATAGGTTTTGGTGACTAGCTGGGTTTTTTAAGCTCATTATATATGATTAAATAATTTTAGACCAGAGTAGAGGAGTAGGAGTGTGAGGCTGGTAAGGATTCTTCAGGTTTTATTTCTTTTTATTTTTATTTATACTCAGGATAGAATATTTATGATATGATTATATCGATCCTAAATTATGTATATAATTTATTTTATGAATGATTTTTTGTAATTTTTTTAATCAAAAAATAATTTATTTAATTTTTATACTAAAAAATTAATTAAATTAAATATTATATTATTATATTATTATTTATTTATTTAGAAACATCTTAAGGCATTATTGAATCTTATTTCCTGTAACATTTCGGTTAACATAACTTGATTTGAGATATGATGAGAGAAAAGTGAGGAAAGAGGAAATAAAGTCTTGGATTTGGAGGTTGTAGAGCAAATTTCATCCACCGATGCTATTTGATTATTTATTCGTCTCGTTCTAAGGAACCTTTACCTTATTTCTAATTTTAAAGATTTTATTTTATTTTTTTTTATCAAATTTGTGTTTTCATTACTAAAAAATATGAATAACTTTGTATTGGCAAAACTTTCACTATGGAACTTTTTATATGTTATATAGATTGATGATATTATGCACATTTTGAATATTTATTTGAGATTTTTTATCTAGTGATTTTAAAAATATAACAATTTTTATCTGCCCAAAAGTTTATTTTGACCTCTAAAAATAACTATGTAGTACAATAAAAGTCTTAAAATATCATTTTACATAATCCATAGTAATCTAGTAATTTTTTAAATGTACTTTTTTGCTTAAGAGGATTATTTGTTGTCAACCGTTATGGCATTTTAGTATATTCTTAATTAAACTCAATTATGCATTATTTGCTGCAATACCTTGAAAATTAATGTTGATATATACTTGAGTAATAACAGGTCGTTATTACTGTTATAGTATTATGATAATATACATGTGTGAAACATACAAGTAAAAATGGTTGACCCGTTGATTGGAGATTGATTAACCTATATAGGATAGTGGGCCGATGGGTTTTTCTTTAAATAAAGTGGCTTGGTGTTATCATCCACTAATTTGTGTGAAACACTAGTTGAGAGTTATAAAGGGTTTATTATTGTGCCGATTGACAAAGTGTGACGACACTATTTATTGAGTCATCTGTTTATTAACACTGATATTAACATTGAAAAATTCCATGATAGCCACAACTTCTTACTTATTTAGTGTGACTACTAAATTGCATATTTTGAAGCATTGCTTTATTATTGTACGGATTTATTAATATTGCATGAATTTATTGTTATTGAATTTTTCTACTATTATTGCCACTAGATTGTTATTATTACTAATCTGGATACCGATATTATTTTATAATATTGATTCAATGTACTTATACTAAGCATATAATATATGAGGCCTATATAGCATGTATACATTCTTATATGATTTTAATGCATTGATTTGATTTTGACAGTCTTTACTGATTTTTTAATTTGATATTTTATTCTATTACAGAGACACGATTGATTTTTAGATTTGATAGTTGTATTAGGTTACTATTTTACTAGCTGTTGCACCGTTGTATTTTACTGCTTACTGATTCTACTACTACTGCATTTGAGTTTTAATATTTTTGCACTTATTCAATGATCATATGATTGCTACTACTATGATTTGATCTTTAACATGCATATTACTCTTTTAGCTTGCTTTGAATTCAGTTATAGATTTTGGTGACTTAGTGGGCTTTTTAAGCTCATTATATATGGTTAAATGATTTCAAGTCAAAGTAGGGGAGTAGGAGTCTGAGGCTGGTCAGGATTATTCAAGTTATGCTTCTTTTATTTTTTATTTTTGTACTCAGGGTAGAATAGTTATGGTATGATTGTATAAATCCTTAATAGTGTATAAGATTTTAGGATTGAATATAGATTTGTATATTGATGTTTAGAATTATAGAATCTATTTTGTTTTTTAATAATAATAGATCATATTAGATAGCTATGGTATTATTTACTAAAAGATAAGAATAATTCTTCTGATTTAGATTATAAGGCATTAGAGAAAAATTTATAGAATATACTCAAAATGTTCATAATCACAATCTCTACTACATATAAAAATTTAAGCAGTGAAAGTTTTACCAAAACAAAGTTATCATTGTTTTTTGATAATGAAAATATAAATTTGTTCGTAAAATATCAAAAATATAAAATTATTAAAATCTGAAATAGGTAAAATATAACCTACCTCGAGACGAACAAATTTCCCAACTGTGCCAACAGATAAAAACAACCCTACGAATGTCAAAACCTAACTTCTTTCTCTCCCCTCTTTCTTCTCAATTCTAAAAAATTCTTCTGTTAACGCAAATAACATTGGAAAAGGGATTTAAAGCCATTAAATAATATATTATGTTTTTAGATATTTTCTTTTTTCTTAATAATAGTATAATAATATTATAATTAGTTTTCAATATAAAATTTATATAAATACTTATTGGGCCAGAAAAATTATAGAAAAACATTCATAAAATAATCTATTTTATTTAAAAATATCTAATAAAATCATATTTTAAAACGGACATCTGATGGCCCCAAAATCCCTACTTGCACCATTAGGAGCAAATTTTTTAAGGAACTTCATCAGTGCTAAAAAATTATGAAAAAATTAGGAAACTAAAACACAACAACAGAGATGTTACGGATAAGAAGGTTTATAATTTGAGCTTGTAATAACTCCTAAATAAAATTTTGACAATTGTAGATAAAAATGTAGTTTTCAAAAATTTGACTTATAACACACCCCTTATTCAAAACTCACTCACAATCTCGCCCACCCTGACTTGGTATTACCAAGCTCACCTACACTATGGAGCTAGCATAGTGCATACTCATCTCTACTAAGTTTTCGCATTGATATATCATCAAAGTTCTGCAACCCCCTACTCTCATTCAACTAACTAGGGGCAAAACATGTTTATGATAGTCTGTGTAGCATTATGCATTTCTCTTTTGTCAGATTTAACTTTTCCTATAACACTTAGAACACTATATATAATAGACGATGAGAAGCATTTTTATACTTCTTGATTTTCTGTATCTATTAATCTTTTCGAGTAACCAAGCTTTTAAGAACCTTTTATTATAGTTTTCTCCAACGTACTCTTTCTCCTCATTCTCACACAAATTCTAGATTTTAATAATAATAATAATAATAATAATAATAATAATAATAATAATAATATTATTATTATTATTATTATTATTATTATTTACCTAAAGTTCTAGATCACTTCCTTAAGGGCTTGCCTATCAGTATGGTCATGTGTCAGCCACTGAAGAATTTGAAGCCAAGAGAATCTAAAGTCAAATATGATATTTCTTTCCTCTATTATTTGACATGATTTTTTTGTGCATGAATTTTTTTTCTTAAAATTAGATGAGGAAGCCACAAAAGTTAGGGCCATCTGGCCTGAGTCAATTGGGGAAAAAAATATTTTGTGCGGAGCCCGAATGTCATCCGGTGACAAATAAAAATACGCCATATCACTTCAAAAATATATTGTACTCGATAATACCCAGACTCAAATACCAAGCTCCAAATATAAACATTCATCCGCACAAAATAATCTCACCAATGACAAATTATTGCATCAGGTCACCGGACGCGGAGAATAGGTTCGGACATCCAATAAAAAATTGTCACGTCACCAGTACTTTTGACTTGCACTTTGAATGCGCTTTACCTCCGCTTTTGACTACGCTTTGACCTGCGCTTTACTTGTGCTTTGACCTGCGCTTTATCTGCGCTTTTGACTTGCTAAATTTAAAATAATATTTATTTAATATCCGGACTTATCTCCGCGTCCAGTGTCCTAATGCAATAATTTGCCCACCAATTTGGGGAATAATTATTTGGTGCAGAGTGCAGATGGGGAGAACCGTCTGCACACTAGTATAAAATCCAACTACATACCGTTTGGTACCGCTGGGTACCATTAGGTACCGCTTAGTATTTTATATCTATGCAGACGATGCTCTCCCCATCTACACTCCACACCTAATAATTATTCCAATTGGGAGCCCAAAATCATATCGTCGATGGAATAAATAAGGCTTCACGATAAGTACACTTGCGGGTGACAGGACTCCAATTCCTTCTCGGCAAAAAATATCTTCATCGCCAATTGCGCTTTTTTTATTTTAAAGCGCTTTTCCGTCTTGTCTTGCGTTCCTCAGAATCTTTTGTCTGGTCTTCGCTGCCCAATGGGCGATGAGCTCGGCACTGACGAGGTCCCTTTTCCGGCGCAGGCGGCGGGACCTTTATTAGTAATCATCGACGAAAATCGCCGCGGCCTCCTCCTCCGTAGGATAACAGAGGAAGGAGGCTTTGCTTTCGTTAGCTCTGCCGAGCTTGCGGCCGCCGGCGATCTTAGATCAGCGGAGGCCGCGCGGGAGATGGCATGGGAGCAGTTACACTCGGGTCCATGGGATGAGGTTGTGCCTACATGGCGAGACGCCTATGCGATGGCCTGCCTCCTAGTGGCGGGCATCCGTGCTAGCGCCGGCGATTTAAAGGAAGCGCTCCGGGTGCTTGATATGGGGCTTATCATGGGTGGTCCATTGCTCCGCCGAGAACTCGAAGTAGCTGTGGGGAAGATTTCAGTTATGTCTGCGTCGAATCAGGTGGAGTGTTCCAGGAGAAGCAGTTGGTGTGGGTTGGAGAATTGCCGGAGCTGGAACATAGATGAGGTGAATCCGTATTTTCAAGTTCATGTTGCCTTTGTCTTTTATTGATGCTTTTTTTTAGTCTTTCAGAATGTTGACCTTTTGTCGGTGGGGTCACCCTAGGATTAGATGACTCAAAAGTTTTTCAGAAATCGTATGACGGATTTTATTTTGCGTATGAAATAGGATTTTCGTAGTTTGAGTCATATTTTCTAGAATTTGTTCTTGTTTGTATGGCTTCTGGGTTTTTAAGTCCGCCTGAGAATTTAGAGTGGCAGGGGTATATCCTTGTGTTCTACTAATCCATTGATTGGTTTGCACTATATTTAATTTGGCTCCATTCGGGAGGATTCCATGTGTTACTTGTTCTTTTTATTTGTAGTTTCGTAGTTTGAGTTATATTTTCTATTAGTAATTAGCAGGATGTTCGTTGTTAGAGTCATTTTCTAAAAAAATTATTGTTTGCTTGTCTTCTGGGTTTTATTCAGATTGTGGGATTTTAGGTTTGCCTGAGAATTGGTTGTTGCAGGGGTATATCCTTGTGTTTTACTAATCAGCTGATTCATTTTTCACTTGCTCTTAATTTAATTTGGCACCATTTGGGAGGATTACAGGAATATATCTTTTTATTTTTACATATTTGATTGAACGCTACCGCATGAAAAAGTTACCCTCTATAGGAATCCTAGCTCTTGCAATCTCATTTCATCATATTTTGCCAATACTCCTCAAATGTCAAAACCATTGATCTTATTGGCTCTTTCAATTTATAGATGTTATTATTAGTAGTATTTTTTAATGAATTTGAAGATTTGGGTAATTTGGGTGTTATATAAGTGACTATCAAAATTTATTTATTAAATATTTAAATACATAAGAATTGTGTGGTAGCATGTAAATCCCCTAGAACTTTTAGGGCAAAATTATGACGTTACAACATTTTGACTTGCTGAAAACTAAGCTCATATGAATGCTGCAAATATCAAAATATGGAATTATGAGAATAAATTATGAAAGCTTCTGGATTATCAGAATCAATTTGCAATGAATTTTACATGAAAAGCATAAATACTAATTAGTTTTGTACGATGTCTATTTTTATGGAATTTTTACCTTTCATACTTTTCTATATTTTAGCTCCTTACTCTTCTTTAATAGGTGCTCCAAATTCTGCCGAGCAGATCACTGGCATGTAAGGCTGTCGAGAAACAACCTTCTCCTTCATTGGAGGCTTTTATTCGTGATTACTTTCTGCGTAGCTATCCAGTTATAATTAGCAATTACATTGATCATTGGCCTGCCCTGACAAAGTGGAAGGATGTTGACTATCTGAAAAGTATTGCTGGTGATCGAACTGTTCCTGTTGAGGTGAATAGCCTGTCCTTTGAAATATTTGTCTTGTCTGCAGTAAACTTGGAAGAGAAGTGATGACTTATAATCATGGATAATTATGTGAGATTTTACTCTTAAAGTTTCACTTGTCTTTCTTGAATTGAGATGTTACTAGCATTTTATCAAGTTTTTTTATATAGTTTTAACATATATAGGATTATTATATCAACTTCTGATGAAGCATACAGTCTGGGTACTTGATGAGAGAAGAAATGAGGTCTTCCATGAGGGAAATTCTGTAATATTATTTCAGATCTTACGGAGGGTAACTCCAAAGAAATTGCCTAATTAAAAATAAGTGGTGATTTTGGATATTGCCCTTCCAAACATATATGCTGTCATTTAAGTTCAAAAGGCTGTGAATTATTATCAGTAACAACAAAGATCATCCTATCAAGTATTCATATTCACTTTACACACTTTCTTTCTGCAACTACTTTTTTGTTGATCTACGTTTTAACCCAGGTTTACCTTAATATTTTTCCTTGAATTCTATCTATGTTTTAACTACACTGTTTCCTTCTTTCTTGTTCAACATAATTCGATCCATTACCTTGTTGATTCTTCTTCCATTTGCTTTTCTCTCTCTCTCTCTTTTGACATGTGCAGAACTCCTCAATCTATTCTTATATTATTATCATTATGTAGAAATTCCAGAGTTTCCTTTTACACTTCCTCTATTATAATTCATTTTACTGTAATATATATATAGCCTCAAACCTGAACTTTTTATTTCACCGCTCGTTTGTATCTTCAACTCATTCCTTTAATACAAGCTAACACACCGCAACAAAGGGTTTGATGACAAAAGCTCGTTTACTGTTAACTTATACCTGAAAGTGATTGAAAGTATTTAATAAAAATGCAGCAATAACATTAATACAATAATAATTAGTTAATGGTAATTTGTGTATATGTATAGTGTTTGAAGGAAATCTTCTACATGCAACTTACAAACAACATTTAAATGTGTTATGAAAACAAACTTGCACTCAGCTTTTACCGTTTTGAAATGAAATTTCATCGCTGAAGGTTTACTTTCATTATTTATTACAATTGTACAACGAAATGAATTATTCCAAATGAAAGGATGTGTATGAGTCTTTTGAGATCTAAAGGATAAGAATATGATACTTGAACAACTTATGATATTTAATTTCGCAGCTTAGTTTAAGAGGCTTATTGAAATGTTCTCATTTTTTTTATTATAGAAATGTTCTCATATACGTGCATAGAGTCTGTATTAGGTTCAAAATCATTGATCGGATTTTCCTCAAGTTGGCTTACTAATCAGTTGGAAGGTTAACAAGTTTTAACGCGAGCATACATGATGTTTGTTGTTGAAGAAGTTATTTACAGGTTCATAGAATTTTTATGGCACGTAAACCAATTTCTGAGCAGTTTCTGTTTGTGAATGAAAATGATAGGCTTACATATACCAAATGAAAATATCCCTGCAGCCTGACTGATTAACTACCCTGAATATTTTCCAAAACATATTTTTAAGATTCATAATCATCTAAGTTTATCTTATTTCATCATTTTATTTTGCAAAGTATATTAATAAGTTGAATTTTTTTGTATTACTAAGAGAGGTGGCGTTTTTTGCTGTTTGTTCTCTAAAATCTGGTAAAGTTAAATGCTGCAGGTTGGAAAGAACTATCTCTCATCAGACTGGAAACAAGAACTTATTACGTTTTCTCAGTTTCTTGACCGGATTCAGACTAATATCAGCTCTGCTGATCTCACATATCTTGCTCAACATCCTTTATTTGATCAGGTACCTGAAATTGTTTGATGTAATTTTATGTTCTTGTAATATATAGATAATTATTTCCCTTGGTGTCTCACTAGCATATTTGGCAGATAAAAGAACTACGCAATGATATAATGATTCCAGACTATTGCTATGCTGGTGGCGGGGAAATTCAATCTCTTAATGCTTGGTTTGGTCCCCCTGGAACAGTGACACCTCTGCATCATGATCCACATCATAATATTTTTGCTCAGGTACAGACAATAAAATTTGTTACTTATCTAAGCTCCTATTGTATAAGATGTTTTTGGTTGTTTTCAACTTGCTTTTGTTGAAGGTTTCTCGTTTTATTTTTCTCTCTCTTCTGACCAACTTCTGCTTTTGTTCCATTTTCACCCTCAAGTCGGAAGAGGTAAATGGAGTAGTAAGGGAAGAGAAGTAGAAGACACAGAACAAAAATAACGTTAGAGTTGAAGAGAAACAATAAAGAATGAGTGGTAAATGTAGCATAGGTGTAGCGATGATAAAAAAGTTGTAGAAATCCTAGATACAGATAGAAAAGTAAATTGAAAGTAGAGAATAAGCAAGTAAAGAGAAAGGCAAAGTAACGTAAGCCAGTGCTTCATTGAGTAAAAGTTCTGTCTTATCTCAGCTGCGTGAACAGTGCAGCTGAATATATAGAGAGGAGAGCTTGAACAGCTTTACATGTGTAATCAGATGAGTTAACAAGTTTGTTAGAATCTATGGTTGTGATTCACTGGAGCATGTGACTTGCTGTTACATTGTGAGAGAGAGTGCTTTTGTGTTCTATTATCCCCTGCAAACTGAAGGGTCTTGACCTATGATTCACGGACACGGACACAGCGACATGGACATGACACGACACGGACACGGGACACAATTTTTTTTGAAAATATAGGACACGGGTATGACGCGGACACGGCAATACATTTTTTTATATAGTATATAGTATATATATATATATATATATATATATATTAATGTAATATCAAATTAAAAATGACAAACAATAATAAATGAATGACATGATAACTTGGCTAGCTTATAATATAAAATATTTAGTACAAAATATCTAGTACAACCACAAAAATATAAGCAAATAATCACTTACTACAACATCAAGCATTCAAGCTTCAACTACTATGATTAGCTTTAGAGGTTTGTTTTTGGCCTTCAATATCATCATCATTGAATATCACTGCTTTCAACTCTGGTTCAACAAGAGAAATATTTGTAATTGTGCGAAAAGAGAGGAGATGAAAATACCTTTACTGCCAAAGAGAAATTAAAATGAGAATATTCGATGAATGGGTATTAAATGCAGACGTTGATTTGGTGTTGTGGATAGGAAATAAAGAATTTAGTTTAAATCTCGCCAAATATAAGAAATTATATTTTAAAAAAATATAAAATATTGAAGATATGCGTGTCGGACACGCGTGTCCAATTTGTTTTTAATATTTTTTAATCGGACACGTTTTCGGCGTGTCCGACACGTGTCAGAGGAGTGTCGGACACTGCACGCGTCTTTGAGGATAAGTGTTTAGTGCATCATAAGTCTTGACAGACCGTTGGTTTGTCTCTAAGTTGATGAAACCTTGAAGTAGTTAATGTTTTGGTGAATATATCTACAACCTCATCAACTCTAGTGATGGGTAGAATCTGAATAGTATTGTTGTGGATGTGATCTATGATGAAATAATAATCGATTTCAATGTGTTTGGTTCTTGCATGAAAAATAGGATTGTTGGCGAGAGCAATGACAAAATATTATTGCAATGTAGATCAGTCAGTTGGGTTATGGGAAGTTTAAAATTCTGTAGAAGATGCCAGAGCCAGATAACGTCTGCCACGGCTGCTGCAAGAGTACTATATTCAGATTCTGTGGATGATCTAGCCACCGTATGTTGTTTCTTTACACTCCATGAGATGAGTGTTGTACCTAAGAATGAGCAGTAGCCTGAAGTTGATTTGTGTACGATCGGATCACCATCTCAGTCGGCATCGAAGAAGGATGAGAGACAGCGAGCTTTTGGTAATCAGAATACCATAGTTTATGGTCCCCTTGATGCAGCGAAGAAGTCTTTTGAGGAGGTAGATGTGAGGCTTTTGTGGGTTATGCATGTGTTGGGATATGATATTAACCACATATGCAATATCAGGTCGGGTCAATGTTAGGTATTGCAGAGAACCGGTAATGCGACGATATTTGGTGGGATAAAACATCAGCGAGTCTTCAGGGAATGTGGTTGGAATTTTTGTGGATGTTGGGTTAGAAAGCGGGTTGCATTTTTGAAGTGCAGCTTGCTGCAGTATAGAGAGAGCATAGGTAGGTTGATACTTGAGAGAGGAATTAGTGATTACTGTTGTGAGTGATTTTGATCCCTAGGAAATTATGGAGAAGGCCAAGACTTTTCATGCTGAAGTTGCTGCTGAGTTTGTCAATGAGGGTGGAGATTACAGAAGGCTTGTTACCGGTGATCAGGATATATCATCTATGTAAATCAAAAGTAAATTTGAGTATCATCTTTGATAAGTGTGAGAAGAGAACAGTTAGATATGCTGTGATCAAAGCCGAGAGATACCAAATGAGAGGTGAATGTAGTGTACCACTGTTGAGGCGCTTGTCGAAGCCCATAAATAGATTAGGAGACAAACATGATCGGGATTAGTTGAATCTTTGAAGCCCTGTGGTTGTGCCATGTAAACTGTTTCGGTGAGAGTGTCGTGAAGAAAGGCATTTGCCACGTCTAGCTTTTGTATAGGCCATCCTTGATTCAGAGCGATCGTGAGCAGCACCTTGATGGTTGGAAGCTTTGCAACAGGACTAAAGGTTTCAGTAAAATCAATGCCTGATTCTTGGTGATTGCCTTGTGCCACAAGACTTGCTTTAAGGCATGCAACAGAGCCATCAAAATGATATTTTGTCTGGTATGTCCAATGACATCCGAGAATAGAGGCATAAGGGGGCGATGGGACAAGCTGCAAAGTTCCCTTTTTCTATAAGGCAAAGAATTCTGCCGTCATTGCTTTCCTCCTTTCAAAATGCTTAGCTGCTTCAGAGTATGATGTAGGATCAGAAATGAGGGTACATTGTGTCTGCTATGTAGTAGATTTAGTTTGTTAGGAGGTTTTAATGAGCCAGTTTGAAATATGGTGATCATAGGATGATGTGGTGGTGGAGCAGGAGTGGTATTGTGGGAAGAAGAGGATTAGTGAGTATGTGGAGGGTCGTAATTGGATACAGGATGTAGAGATTGGGAGAGGAGACTTGAGGTATGTAGAGGTAATGAAGATTGTAGTTGTTTGCTTGTAGATTGCAGAAGAGTAGACATAGGAGTGAGTAGTTGAGGATATATAGGTGGAGATGGATTAACCTTGGAGTGAGGTAACTTGTGAAATGGAGAGGAATTTTGAGGCATTTTATTTTGTTTGGAAGTTGATTTTCGATGTGAGTTTTGAAATTTATGAAGGTTGGGTAACATCAGATTTGTATAAAATTGGAAACAACCATATAAAACGAGAGTAGTCAATAAACACCACATAATATTTATATCCTTGATTTGATATAATCGGAGAAGGTCCCCAGACATCAGAGTGAATGACTGCAAGTGGCTGTGTTTGACGATTTGTAGAAAGTTCAAAAGCTAATTTATGACCTTTTGAGGTCTTACAAGAAACACATGGAAAAGAGAAACCACTAATTTTAAGCTGTGGATTTAGATTGGAGATTGCACCGAGGACATGTTGATGAGGGTGTCCAAGCCGTTTATGCCAAAGAGTGGAAGATGAGTTGGTGGCTGAGAGAGCTGATTGATGACTTGGAGGAGAGGATGTTGAGATCGGATACAACACATTACTTCATGTTCCCTTGAGAATTATCTGATTTGTTGTCAGATCCTTAAATGAGAAACCAGAAGAGTTAAAAGTAATGGAAATATTGTTATCCTTTATTAGATTAGAGATTGAGAGAAGATTATGTGTAATGGATGGAAAGTGAAGAAGAGGGGAAAGATGAAGCTTGTTGTATGGTGTTGGAAGCAAACCATCACCAGTGTGAGCAATTGGAATAGATCGGCCGTCACCGATCGTAATTGTACATAACCTTGATAAGGTGCTGAGTGGGATAGACGGTCAAGGGAGTTGGTGAGGTGGGAAGAAGCACCGAAGTCCAAGTACCAATCGGTAGAACTGTTATCTAAAGAAGCGACTAAAGTCTGTTGGATGTGGCTTGTGCAGGCAGTTGCTGAGGGACGTAATTGGCATTCATCCTATCCCTGTGGATGGAAGCTGTATGGCCCTTTTTGTTGTAGATTTGACATATGGAGATAGATGTTGACGGTGGTCAGTTTCTAGTGGCGACGTGCTGAGGGAATCGGCCTCGGCTGCGTTGATTGCAACCTCTATAGGAGTAGAGAGCTTGATGAGTGTTCGGTGCGGGAGAATGGCGAGTTGCCTCGGACGCGATATTAATCTCCTCTCTGATTAACCTGGAATAGAAATTATCCAGGCTAATAGGGTTGAGCATTCTCCTAATGGATGTTTTGAAAGCTTGATATGGAGGTGGAAAAAAATTTTCAAATAAAAAACAGGAGCATGAATCTTAATCTTCCTAAGGAGACTATCTAGAGGATAAAATGAATAAAGTTTTATTTTTAGTTAGTTTGGCATGAGGCTTAGTTAAGTGTGACTAGTGGCGTTGCTAGAGAGGACTGCTTTTCAAAGATTATATCCACTGCTCTTGTTATGCTTGAAGTTTGTAAACAAGTTTTAATTCAATTTAAATTATTGAGTAATTAAAGAATGTTGTCTTGCGCTATCTGACACACATCAAGGTATATTCTGTACGGGGTTGATTGGCAGCAATATACTGGGTAAATCAAATTAATGTAAAAAGATGTGAAGATAAATGAGTTGAATGTTGGTAATGTTGTTTGAAGCTGTGAAGATAAATACTTGCATAAATTTGATTTAAAACCATATAATTGGAATAAGACTAATGAGCATGAGTGGTTGATCCACAACCAAATGATAGGTTCTTATGTAGTTTAGTTGTTTGCTGCTTCAATTAAGGACAGGGTCTTTTTGTTTTATCAACAATAGTCATCCAACTTTCCCTTGTTGCCGGTTCACTGCTCATTTGTTCTATTATGTGTTACGCACAACTCCTACTTGCAAATAGGGAATAGCACCGAGATTTTAAAGAAAATTTTAATGAAATCGAAATTAGATGGGTTATACTATCTGGATCATAATTTTGGGCAACAAAGAAGTTATTGATAACCAATTTAGAAAAAATGAGAATGCTAATTTGATTGTTTATTAGAAGTTGGAGGAATGGAATGGGAATGTCCACCTAAAAGCGGTGGAGTAGCTCCTATTGAAGTTGAGAGAGTAAAAAATAGAAAAGTATAAACTGCCCCAATAAAATGGTTAATGTAGTTAATATATAAGATTATAAAGAAATATAGCTCGGAAGTAGCATTGCTTGAAATAAGGAAAATTTTTTTTGTCAAGATATTGAATTTTGAGCTCATTTAGCACTCAACAGGAATGACTGGAGGTTGGTTCCATATGGTTGGTCTAAATAATTGTGATAAGGTTAACGATCTTGGTTTTAGGTGCCTACAAAATTATTTAACCAGGTTTCGTACAAGTAAAGATCTGCAAAAAGTTTTATAGTATTGTACCTGAATAAAAGATTTTATGAAAAGGAAGACATGGAATTAGCCCATCAGGATGAACGAACACTGACTTTATCTCTTAAGAAAATAATTTAAATCACCGAGCCTTGGTCACTCATTATGGCTTTTGTCTTGTTATTATATTATTTTTTTTTATATATAATTCTATGTGCTGAGACTTAGAATTTAATTCAAGAACCAACAGTTGCTCAAAAATAGGATATGTTTGGCATAGATTTGTTAGACCGGGACTGACTCACGAAATGGAGACGGAACTCTTCCGCCTCCTACAGGTGCCGCATGAGCCGCCGAAGCAAACGATGCATTTTAGGAAGGATTTTTGAGGGATTTGGGAGGGAAATTTGAATGTAGGGACTGTTTAGGGATTTCCTTTTGATTTGTATGCATTAAATATTTTGTTTTCCGAGGGTTAGGGCATCTTGAATTTGGCTGATTTTGGGATCACTTAGGTTTAAGTTTTGGGCTCTAGTTTCGTCTAGAAATTGGGAGAGATCGATCCTCCTCTCGAATAGAGGATCACTTGTATCTTGTTATTTTCTTCCGATCTATTTGATTCTTGCAATAAAATTATTGATTTTCATTGGAGTTTGGAAAAATTTTCTCGTTGTTTTTTTCTTTCTTGCTAGGATTCACTTGAAATCTACAAGTGTTTCCTATCAAGATCATGCTTGGATCAACAAGCGTGGTCCTGGATTGAATCAAGCTCTTTACCGGCTTTATTGGTCTTAACTTTGATCTGATGTTGAGCTGGGTTGGATCGGCATGAAATCATTTTTTTTTTCAGTCCTACCTTGGTCAGGGGTTCAGGCTTTTTATTAGCTGACAGTAATTTGGATGGTGTGTTTGTAAACAAAGTTGGATGCTCAGATATATACCATTATGCTATTTGTACTTTTACTCTATTTTTTTCCTCTTTTATTTTTCAGGTTGTAGGTAGAAAATACGTAAGGCTTTATCCAGAATCCGCGTCCCAGGACTTGTATCCTCACACAGAGTCTATGCTAAAGAATTCTAGCCAGGTATTTAATTATTTGTTCTCTCATTCGTTCTTAAAACTGAGCCGTGGGCACTGATCCTCAACTCTATAAAATTTCATGCAAAAAAACTATAAATATATTTATTTCAGGTTGATCTTGACAATTTTGACGCTAAAGATTTCCCTAGAACAGCAGATCTAGACTTCCTTGATTGCATTTTAGAGGAAGGCGAATTGCTGTATATTCCTCCCAAATGGTGGCATTATGTGAGATCCCTTTCAACAAGCTTTTCTGTCAGCTTTTGGTGGAGGGCATCAGACCTTCCCTTTGAAAATGTGTAATAATGATTATTCTTTAATGCAATTAAGCTGATTTATCTGACGGTCCTTGCAACAGTGAAAAGGTTGATGATAGTGAGAATTCAAAGCTGATTATGGAGTGATACATGGTAATCAATGAACAGGATACACAATCAAAGGAAACTAGTTTTGCGTACATTTTAACCTTACATTTTTATGGTTTAGAAAATATTATAATAGTTGTAGCTTAAAACTGTTGATCCGTTTTATGATTTCTAATTTCATTGAGATGTTGATATTTATCTTCTCTATACTTGTTCATACAGAAATAGCCAATAGATTTATAAATGATCATCCTATTTGTGCTCTTAATTCTACTTCCTATTGTTTGATATCCAGGAAAATAAAAAGCGCAACTATTAACACTTAGGGCTGTTTGGTAGAATCTAGGATTTCATTTAAGTAGGATTTCATAAATCCTCCAAATCCGGATTTGCGAATTCCGGGGGGGTTAAATCCTGAAAACTGTTTGGTAACATTCATGATAAATCCAGTTAAATTATGTGTGATTGTTTGGCTATGCAAGTCATGATTTAAGGCAGTTAAAAGAAAAACAGTTGGAAACGTTCGGACTTTCTCCTCTCACCCGAATAAGAAGTTAAATCTGCCGAATTGGTGGATTTGCGAAATCCGGGATTTATCGCAAAAAGTGGTCTTTTTCCGTCAACCGCGGCTTTCATTTGCCGTGAGATTTGGATTTGCATTTTAGGCCTTTTGGTTGGATTTTACCCAAATCTGGCCTTAAATCCGCATACCAAACAGCCCCTTAAAATAAGTTTATAAGATTTTGAAATTCTCAGAGTTTCAAACTAGCGACTCTGACTGCAACTCTGACCCATACGATTGTGATGATTCCTTTACTTGTGACGCCTTATTTATGCCTTCTTCGTCTTCGAGGCACCCTTTCTTCTGCTCTTATTCAGGGATGCCCACGCTTTTTTTCATGATGTATTCTCTTGCTCCTGTTGTTTATCAGTGAATATTAGTTATTTTAGAAGTTTTTGCAATAAGTAAATATTTCTAGGTCTTGACTTTTTTAAATAATTATAAAGTTAAAGAAAAAAATTGATAATAAGCTCGCGAGTTGAACTTATCAACTTATGAGCTTGAGCAGATTAATGACACTTATTCTATTCAATAAACCTAAGAAAAATCTGATTGCATAATGAACGAGAAACAGAACAGAGAAAAATAGGTTACAACCTCATTATACTCTTCTAATTTTATTTGTTAATAAAAAAACTCTTATGGGCAAGTTTTGCCCCTTCAAATCGTCTTTATAAGCATCAAAACTGTGTATCATAAGCATCATGTTATCGTCATAGGTCATTGCGCCCAGCTTAGGTTCGTTTGATTTTGTTTTCTAAAAAAAAAAACCTTAAAAAGCTGTTTTTAATTTTGTTTTATAAAACAACATTCATCACAACCTACTGTATAAAAAGGTTAAAAAAAGTATTAATTTCCCAACCAAATAAGCTCTTAATCATGATAAATACGGATGCAAATATGAAGTGCCCTTTAAAAAGAGCTAGATCGAAAAAAGTAATGCTATTAAAGCATGATATGCATTGCATAAGGGAATGGACGCATTTTATTAAAATGATTTGACTTCTGTTTTTACTATATTATTGATTGACTATGAAAAATAATGATTTAATTAAGATTGGTGGAGGTGAAATTTGGCTTAAAAAGTGACAGATTTTATCCATCAACACCAACAACAAGTTGAAGCATCAAGCTTTTATCTCACTTTATGAGGTTAGCTACATGAATATTTTTTTTATTGTGTGCTATTAAGAGTAAAATCCTTATTTAAATCTAATAAAGAAAGTTCATTTATAATATTTGCTAATCAAGTATTTCTAGGTCAAGCTTTGTCTTTCTTAGCATAAGTCAAATTAAATACATCTACTCTCTTAACTTTGTCATCGGAAGGTCAACATTTTATATGAGCAAATCTTCAAAGGCAACTCTCTCTAACCTTATCTTCCCTTGGAGCTACTCCAAGCTTTTCACATATATGCTTGTTTCATATCTTGACTCTAAGAGTAAAGCCACTCATTCACTTGAGCATTCTCATCTCTGCAACACTTAACTTAATATTACGCTTTTATTTCAATGGTCAACATTTTGCATCATAAAGCATTGTAAGTCTCACCACCACCTTATAGAATATTTCCTTAAGTTTGTGGCGGACTTTTCTATCACACAACAAGCTTGATGCAATCCTCCACTTGAATCATCTAACTTGAATTCTACTTATAATATCTCCTTATGTTTCACCATTGCTTTGAACAATAACCTAGAATATCTAAAACATGTATTATTATTAATGACTTGATTGCCCAAAGTCAAAATCCCCCACTTGATCAATTACTACTAAAATTTCACTCAATATATTTCATTTTAGATCTACTCGAATGAAAACCTCTAGACTCTAATGTTGACTTCCATAATTCAAGTTGACCTTCAACTCCCTCTCTAGTCTTATCAACAAGAAAAATATCATTAGCAAAAGCATATACCAGGGTATAACCTCTTGCAAATGTCTAGTGAGAACATCCATGACTAAAGTAAAAAAGATATGGGCTTAATGCTAATCCTTGATGTAATCCAACTGAAATAGGAACATACATGGTTAAACCACCTTATGTTTGAACACAAGTAACAACTCCAGCATACATATTATTAATGACTTGAATATAAGTATTATTAACCCCTTTCTTTTCTAGAACTCTCCATAGCACTTCTCTTGAAACTTTGTAATATGCTTTCTCTAAATCAATAAATATCATATAGATCCTCTTTATTCTCTATATACTTCTCTACCAAACCTCTCAGTAAATGTATAGTTTCCATAGTAAACCTAATCGACATGAATCCAAATTGATTTTGAGAAACATTAGTATCACATTGTAACCTATGCTCCATAACTCTCTCCCATAGTTTTAAAATATGACACATTAACTTAATTCCTTTATAATTTGCACAATCTTGTACATCATCTTTATTCTTAAAAATAGAAATCAACATACTCATTCTCCACTCATTTGGCATCTTCCAAGTCTTCAAAATAATATTAAAAAGTTTAGTAAGCCAAAAAATTTTTTCATCCCATAAGCATTTTCACATCTCTATTAGAATATCATCTAGTCCAACAACTTTCCACACATCATTTTTCCTTAAAGTCTCTCTAACTTTGGTTTTACTAATATGCTGATTAAAATAAAAATATTTATTTTTATTTAGAACACTAAAGTCAATCATATTTTCATAATCTTCATTAAGAAGCTTAGAAAAATATCTTATCCATCTTTATTGAAGATCCCCTTATAATAAAAACACTTTTTGATCTCCATCCTTATTGCACTTCACTTGAACTAAATCCTTACTACTCCTATCTCATTGTTTGGTTGTCTTATACATACATATATATCCTTGGTATCTAATATATTATTTAAATCATTAAAAGCTAAACTCTTTACTGTGGGCTCTGAAAATTCCATTGTGCCCTGAAAAACGATTGCGTGAAGTGGATGCTTTTTAGTTTAAACTTTTTTAGATGAAAGATTTCATTTTTAAGGATTTAGATTTTTATTGGTTTTAAGACTTAGCCCCTTCGGTTGAGATTTCCCGTCAACACGGCCTTCATCGGGTTGACATTAAAGAAATTGTATTTCTGTAGGAATTTGGGAGGCATCTTACAATTCAAGTCAGGTTTACTCAGGTCGTTTCGTAGAGGAGGATAAGACTTAAATATTTGACGTGTGCATCATTCTCGAAGTGTTAGATTTAGAAATCATATGTGACGATCAGAGCACATGCGGTTTTGTTTAGTTTGAAAATAGAATTTTATTTTAGCGACCATTTGACCCTGTGTAGCATTCTTGGGTATTTGTGTTTCTAACTTTAACACATTTATGGAAGCACATGTAGGGTTTATTTTCAACATATATATTGGAGTTTTATTATAAAAATATAGCCTTCTATCTACTTGTATAAATATTGTGAATTCGGTGGCTTTTGAGTGCATTAGACTTTAGTTATATATATGAGAGATATTACTTAATTTTGTCTCCTTCCAGTTATCATTTAACAAAATTCCTTTAGGATGTTTGCTCAATAGATGCTAGGGGATCATTATTTCTTACTTTTTCGTGGGTTACATCATTTGTCATGAATTTCTTAGCGCCACCTGCATGCTATGTGCATTATCAATCCCTTACTCTTTCCTATAACTGAATGGTAACATGAACTAGAAGTTCCCCGCTTCTATTCCTAGGCAGGCTTGTTTGTTTTGTACGAGCTTCTTGTCCTTGCCAGTAGGATAATCATTATGGGAATTATGAATTCTCTATCCCCATTTAAAGGTGAATTGTAGTGTGCCTGGTTCAGTTCTACAAAGACTTTGAGAGATGCTAAGTCTTGATACATGTCCATCTATAGAAAGAATATTTAAGCTGATCTCCACATGGCAAAGGGTTTCCGATGAACTTTATTAAGGGAACCTAGAGAAGTTCTTTGTTGCATGACATTAAATGACAATTAATTTTCAAATATTTTGTTATATAGTTTCCTAAACTCAGAATATGAAAGATATATTCAACCATACTAACATAAAAGTTATTCTATCCAAAAAGATTCATTCTTCATGCTATCAATCATGTTCATGATAGTAATTAAATATTAATTGTCTTCCAATTTGTTGTGTATCGATTAATATTTGGTAATATTACTGATACCTTCAATAGAAGAGATTCATAATATGATTACGCAACAACCTTATTGGATTCAAAATTGATTGGTTTAGAGTAGCACTCATCACTAGCCATTTATGGAAATATATTTTGAGCCAAACAAATTTTGTCCCTTTGAGATTAAATAACAAATCGCATCAACTTTTAATTATTAAAAGGTTGTGCAGGTCCTATACTTTAATTTAAAAAATAATAATTTAAATTGACAAATTAATTATAAGGTCTCCCATTTCATTCAATTTTAATTTTTGTAGCCTCCTAACATCCCCTCCCATTGAAGGAAGGTAGGGAGAGCACTTGCTCTTTTAAACCCGTTCAGCAAGAATGATATTCAAAGGCCAAGGATGTTAGGATGTTGTTTGGTCGCAAAATAGGTATTTGAGTCTAGTAATTATGTGCGACATCCTAATTTTAATTTTAATTTAATTTTAAAAATATTTTTTTTAGTCCCCTTAAAAATCTGGCAGCCTTCCAATGATCCCTCCCCTTGAGGGGAGGTTGGCGAGGGTACTTTCCCTTTTAATCCACCCGGCCGAA